AATGATTCTAAAATATATGCCAAAAAATAATGTGGTATGGTTAAACCTATACCAACATGATTATCTTGACTCTCAATTCAGTCTTAGATTTTGTTTTTGTTGCTTTTTTTATCCTGGTCCTGGAGCTTAAACCCAGGGTCTGGGTGCTGTCCCTGAGCTTTTTGTTCAAGGCCAATGTGCTACCACTTGGGCCACAGCTCCACTTCTGGCTTTTTGGTGATTAATTGGAGATAAGAATCTCCTGGGCTTTCCTGCACTGGCTGGCTATGAACTTCAATCTTCAGATCTCAGCCTCCCAAGTAGCTAGGATTATAGGTGAGCCACCAGTGACTGGCTCAGTCCCAGGTTTGGTTGTTTCTTTCTTTGTTTGTTTTTGTTTAATAAAGGAGTAATCTCTGTGTGTTTGTGTGTGTGTGTGTGTGTGCCAGTAGTGGGCCTTGAACTTAGGGCCTTGGTGCTGTCCTTTAGGTTTTTCTGCTCAAGGCTAGTACTCTACCATTTTAGCCATACTTCCAATTAAAGTAACAATCTTGTTATCAGAAAAAAAATTATCAGGTTTGCTGATAGAAATACAAGGCAGGGCTGGGAAGGTGGCTCAGTGGTAGAGTGCTTGCCTTGCATGCTCGAGGCCCTGGGTTCGATTCCTCAGCACCACATAAGCAAAAAGAAAAAAGCCGGAAGTGGTGCTGTGGCTCAAGTGGTAGAGCGCTAGCCTTGAGCTGAAGAGCTGAGGAACAGTGCCCAAGCCCAGAGTTCAGGCCCCACTACCGGACCCAAAAAAAAAAAAAAGAAAGAAATACAAGGCATTAAAACAGTAATGATAGGAGAAACTGTATTGGAAAGAGATCAAGATCATGAGCTTAACCACAGAGAGAACAGACAAGTGTGGCAGGAAAGTTACCCAGAAAGGATTCAAATAGAATCTACCTTTTGTTTAAAAAAATCCTAGCTACTCAGGAGGCTGAGATCTGAGGACTTCAGTGGAAGCCAATCTAGGCAAAAAAGTCTATGAGACTTTTATCTCCATTTAACTAGCCAAAATCCAGAAGTGGAGGTGTGGCTCGGTGGGTAGAAGCAGCCTTAAATGAAAAAACTAAGGAATAACACACACAGGCTGGGTTCAAGACCCGGTTCCTGCAAGAAGAAGAAGAGGAGGAGAAGAGGAAGAGGAAGAAAAATAGGAGAGGAGGAAGAAGAGAGGAAGAGGTAGAAAGAGGAGGAGGAAGGAGAAAAGAAAGAAGAAGAAGAAGAGGAGGAGGGAGAGGAGGAAAAATAGGAAAGGAGGAAAAATAGGAGAGGAGGGGAATGGAAGGAGGAGGAGGAGGAGAAAAGGAAAAGAGGAAGAAGAAATAAAGTCACAAAAGAATCAAAAGAAAATAAATGGCTTCGGTATCCATTGCTGGCATAGCCAACAAATTATACAATGATTTTGTAAGCCTGATTTTGTAGATTCAGGTTTAAGGTTGGAGCTAATCTAGAAAGCAATACACTTCTCCAGTTCAGTTGACTTCAGCATTGGTTGGCTGGGAGGAAACTTCCCCTGGAACAGTGTGGGATGGCCACTCTCCTGGGTCACCAGCTAGGACACGAGAAGCCCAGGCAAATGAGGTTTGATAAATGACCTGTCTTCACCACCATTTCAAGGGACAGGGCTGGCCAGCAGCACTTCTATCTATTTATATTTCAGCATGTTAAGCTCTATCACAGTGCCACACATGCCATCTTTACACACAGATATGAACTATTAACCCATTTACAAACTGGGTGAACTTGGCCTTTGAAGACAGTATGGGATTTCTGGAAGGTGACAGGTTCAGTGAATAATTCCTTTTTTTTTTTTTAATTGTTTTATGTTTTGGTCAGTTGTGGGTTTTGAACTCTGAGCCTGGGTGCTGTCCCTGAGTGCTTCAGCTCAAGGCTAGCACTCTACCACTTGATCCACAGTGCCACTTCCAGGGTTTTTTTTCCTAGTGGTTTATTGGAGATAAGAGTCTCATGGATGTTCCTTCCTGGGCTGGCTTTAAACTTTGATCCTCAGATCTCAGCCTCCTGAGTAGCTAGGATTACAGACATTAGCCACTGGTTACCGTCCAATAATGATTTTTTTGGGGGGGGGTCCGGTCGTGGGGCCTGCACTCTGGGTCTGGGCGCTGTCCCTCAGCTCTTCAGCTCAAGGCCAGCACTCTACCACTTGAGCCACAGCACCACTTCTGGCTTTTTTCTTTTTGCTTATGTGGTGCTGAGGAATGGAACCCAGGGCCTCAGGCATGCAAGGCAAGCGCTTTACCACTGAGCCAACTTCCCAGCCCCCAATAATGATTTCTGAACTCATCTTCTGTGTATGTGTTTGTCCTGGGGCTTGAACTCAGGGCCTGGGCACTGTCCCTTAGCTTCTTTTGCTCAAGGCTGGTGCTCTACCACTTGACCCACAGCTCTACATCTGGCCTTTTGGTGGTTAGTTGGAGATAAGAGTCCGACAGATTTTCTTCCCTGGGGCTGGCTTCAATTCAAGACCCTCAGCTCTTAGCCTCTTTAGTAGCTAGGGTTACAAATGTGAGCTAGTGCTATTGGTAATTTCTGAATTCTTGATCTAGCCTTCTTTTCCATTTTATTGAGCAGACTCACTGTAAAGTCAAAATTACAATCATAGTTAATTTAGGAAAAAAGATTGAAAATTTCTAAAACATCTTCCCAAATTTTAAAGATACTATATTTTTCAACTTCTGTGTCTCTCTTTGTTGTGTGTGTATGTGTGTGTGTGTGTGTGTGTGTGTGTGTGTGTATACTGGGGCTTGAACTCAGGGCCTAGGAGCTGTCCCTTAGCTATTTTGCTCAAGGCTGACACCCTACCACTTGAACCACAGCTCTACTTTTGGCTTGTTGGTGGTTAAACAGAGATTAAAAGTGTCACAGACTTTCTAGGCCAGAATAACTTTGAGCCACGATCCTGAGATCTCAGCCTCTTGAGATACAAACTAGGATTACAGGAATGACACATCGTAGCCCACCTGTGTCTACTTCTAAGCAGCTTTTCCCAGTGGAAATGGACATTTTGAAACAAGGCAGCCTGATCTCCATGGCTACTCTATTCTAATGGCTATTTCTGGTGATAATAAATAAATCATTTTTGAAGTTTCCATCTGAGTGTTAATAAAATGTGATACACCTGGTTATCTATTCTGTTAGCATCTGAAAAATCAAAGGGACAGGAAAAGATGCACAAAACCTTTGGCTTCAACAGTCACACTCCACTCAACACCAGACTACATGTATTGAGAGATGTGTCCTTGGTTGATTTTGTTATCATGAATATGAACATAGAAACCTAGAAACATAGCTACAGTGCCATTGTCTAGACTGTCAATGTTTACCTAAGTCTCATTATGCAGTGCTCTACTTAACCCTGTTGAAAGATAATCCGTGGCTAAGTAAGAACTGCTCCTTGGTCCTTGAAAACATCTGTTCTGGGTAAAAAGCAAAGAGATGAATAAAGATAGCAGGGCCTCTGCTGTGACTGTGTACCAATGAAAGTTGGACATAACTGTAAAAATATGCCCAGTCCAATCTCATTGGAGTCTGGTATACCTTTCTTTGTTAGGTCTTCTCATTTTCCAGTGAATGGCCTAGCAAAGCAAATTAACTACAGTCGTGAAAGGTGTCAGTGAAGCATTCTATCTTTATGAGAATTTCACTCTGATTCTTTTGCAAATAGATGATACATAGAGACCATCAGCAACCTGATATCTTTAAAGTTAACTAATCTAATGGTTCAAAACAGAAATTATTCTCTTAACAGATGAGCTCAGCATGAAATACGGGTTGTTTATTAGTTGCAGGCTTATAATAATAAAATGTTAGTCATGTACAACAGATGAAAAGAATTCCTAAAATTCTGTTATCATTAAGTTCATATAGTCAAGGTGGAAAAAAAATTCCCAGAGAGGTGATCTATTTTTAAAATCCTGAAAGAATTTTTCCTATGGTCTTCTAAGACAGGCAAGACTACCATTCTGTTAGTATTCTGCTCACCTTTGGTCCTCAGCTCCACCCACACCTGGGCCCCTCCCATTCCATTCCTGGAATTCCCTCCTTACAGCTGGCCCCTCCCTCCCTCTCTCCGCCCAGACCCACCTGAATGCTCATCTACCTCACTTTCTATCCCTCAAGACCCTCCTGCTACTTGATGGGGACAGAGGCCATGTGCTCCCTCGTGGGGGAAATATGGCTCCTCTAATAAACCTTACAATAATTTTTCTCCCTGTGCCTGCCTGCCTCTGTGTGGTGCCCTGGGATGGATGTGTGGGATCCTCCTCTTTCACATTCCTTACCTGGAAATTGTGTCAAAAAATCAGTCTTGACAAGATTATTCAGAATTGCACAGGAGAACATTTTTTGCTAAGAAGTCTTTATATGCCTGTAAGCTCAAATATACACATTTGTTTATTTCTAGATAGGTAGGTAGGTAGATAGGTAGACTGATAAATAGAGATGTAGCTAGATACGTAAAAAGATACATAGATGGTTAATTGGTAGATACATTCCTATATGATAGATACATACATATGTATAGATACGTAAATGATACATATATACATGAATTTAGATACATCGATAAAATTCATGGATGATAGGTGGATTCATAGATGATAGGTAGAAACACAGATATATAGGTACATAGATACATTGATTACATGCATACATGGAAAGATAGATCCATATGTTGATGATTGATTGATGATAGTAGATAGATAGATAGATAGATAGATAGATAGATAGATAGATAGATAGATAGATAGATAGATAATCTGATAAATTTCTTTCCGAGGTTTCATAGATATTGCATAAAATCTCTGGTCTTATCGGTATTTATAAATTTGTTCTACTCAAAAGAAAAGTAATGACTACATCCCAAACCATCCAAATCAGAATCTTTCCAACATTATAAACGTTTCTTCCATGTGAGATAGGTTTGAAAATGAGAGAAGTTAAAGTTTTCTTACCATCCAAGCTGTGACAAAGTCTCCCATCCAGGTCCCTACTGCAGCTAATTTCATGAAACTCTCATTGCGGATGCCCATATAGTCTGTAATGATATACGCTCTGTGGAAACAAACAACAAGACATTGCCCAGACTCAGTGAGCTAGTCAGTCCAAACTTCCTGCTTCAGCCATCCTGAAGGACTTTTTCCCTCTGGATAAACTTTCTCCCCTTAACATTTGTCTCTCCCCACACTGTTGATACATTCGAAAGGCAGGGAAGAGTTTGAAGATATGGGGGTGGGTTTAAAACTCCACCGCAAGGCTGGGTTGTGACTCTAGCAATTACCCTATGCATTTTACATCTGAGCTGCAAGAATGACAACCGTTTCTGAAAACTAACACAGAAATGGCTCAGTCATGACAGCATTTCATGCTCACCCAAGGCTGAGCAGAGCAAAAAACAATTCTTGAATCTCAGAACTTGAAAGGGGAGAGAAGAACTAACCAGACTCCAGTTCTGTCAAAATCAGAATTACTGAAAAAGGGGGTTAAGCTAGGCTTCAGATATAATATCACACTTGAATAGTGTTGTTTTAAGAATATTTTCTGCAGAGTCAAGCGATGTGAAATTTGGTCTGGATGTGTGTGATTGAAATTTCTACTGATATAACAATACCTGGAATATTCAATCTTATTGTTTTGTTTTTGTACAGCAAATTCTGATTTGCTTCTGATACGAACAGATCAGATCCTTCACAACTCAGAGATTCATCAAAGACATGGCCAATTGTTAAATATCCTATGTGCCCTATATTAACATTTTATTTTCCCATAATTTTTGTTACTAATTATTGTTTTTCCCCTTTTACAATTTCTCTGAGAAAACTGAGAGAGATTCAGGGAATGGCCAGCAGGCTCAATCAATAACACATAACTAATAAATGGTTATTAGGAATTAGCTTTCTTTCAGTTTTTTAACTCTTGGGATTTTATTTATTCATTTATTTTCATTTTTTTGTCCTGGTCATGGAGCTTAAACTCAAGGCCTGGGCATTGTACGGTCCCTGAGCTCTCCCCCCCACCCCCTCCCGCCAAGGCTAACACTTTGCCACTTGAGACATAGCTCCACCTTTGGCATTTTTGGTAGCTAAGTGTAGATAAGAGTCTCGTGGCCTAGGCTGACTTCAAACTGTGATCCTCAGATCTTAGCCTCCTGAGTAGCTAGAATTATAGACATGAGCTCTTGACAATAGACTTTTTTTCTTCTTTTTTTTAATTTTGTTCCTTTTTAAAACATGATAATACCTGTACAATTTGAAATGCTAGTTAAATTTGATTCTTCCAAATTAGTTTTACATTCAATCATGTTTGTTATCTACTAATATTAGGAAAAAATATGTTTGTAAGTCACTGAGAGATACAACATACCAATTCAGTCTTTCTTTCTGCAGTTATTTTAAGTGGTTTTGTTACCTCCAAAAAAGCAGATACTTAAGTTGTTTCATCTAACAACAAAAGCAAACTTAAAGTCATAAAATAGTTAATTTTCCACACATTTTGTTCACTTATTTTAGAAGGTCTATGTAAATATGTTGAGTTTTCACCACAAAATTGTAATACCTAATTCCATGAATTTTCATAGCAGCTAAAGACTTGTAACTATCATAACTGATTGCTTACAATGTTCATCTTAAGTACAGTGTCTCCTCCATGTAGGCATAACAAAATGTATTCTTATTACCATTTTATGGACATAAGATTAACTTTCAGAATTTTTGCAACTTGCTTAAAGTAAGCATCTGGTAAATAGTCAACATTTAAATTCCAACTGTATTGACCCTCAAATACATACATTTAGTCATTATGCTACACTTTATGTATTTGTGAAGATGTAATAACACAGATCTACTTTCCCCCATGTATTTCGGTAGACATTGTAGATCAACACATTAATACCTTTAAAGACAGGTTATAATAAGTCAACAGCAGCATGGAGAAACTTTGGCTCCTCAGAACCACCATGAATTGGGTTCTCACCAATGGAAATAGATTTTATTTGAACACTCCCAAGATATGGTGGATAACAAGGGTGACTTCATTCAGCACTACCATCATTGGACAGCTGCCAAGCACTGAATTCCATGTATTCTAGAGTATTTGCTCCGATAATTGCCCAGCTCTTTAAAAACATCTATTATGAAGAATACGCTCAATATCATTTTCCTACTTGTTGGGTTTGCCAATGAGTTCTAAAATACATTAGGGTAGGATGAAGATGTCAGTGTACATTATTTGTGGCTATGCAGAGATGTATCGGAGAAGGCAACATTCTAGTACCTCAGTATCTAAAAATATAGATGCCTGGATACACTTATAACAAATAAATGATCCAGCCAAGAATGACTAAAATTAATCTAAATAAAATACAAAACTTTCCTCCTAAAAAAAAATAAAAAAATAGAAAGACCTTGAAAAAAAATCATGCTAAATGAATTCAGTCAGGCCCTTAAGATCCATTTTTCTTTCATGCAGAATCTCAAATTAATTTGTAAAGATATAAACAAACATTTTAAGGTAGTAAGCAAGTATACACAAATGTAATAACTGAATTATGATAGATTCAGGAGAGAACTTAAATGGTGTAATTCCTTAGAAAGACTAACTCATAGTGCAACAAAATAAACACCAGGAAACAAGTAAGTACTCAAAAGGGAAAATGGGGATCAAGGAGAGGGGGAGAGAAGAGTGAAGAGAAAAAGCAGGGGAGAATGCAGGTCATAAAATTCAAAGCAAACCTACAAAAGGAAGAAAATTGAGGAAAGGGTGGAGTTGGGAGGGATGGAGGAGAATGATAAAAGAGGTGGCATTGATCAAAGCTCCTTGTATTCATAAACTGCTTTGTTGAATGGCACATCCTTTGTACAACTTCCTAAGAATAATAAAACTATACTTTAGGAAAAAGAATTCATCTAGATAACATTAAGAAATATCTTAAAGGCATTACAGAGCTGACATGAAAACCAGAAAGTAAAAAGATAGGGTGGTGGAAAGAATTATGCAAAGGTCAGAGTCAGTGAAAGGCTAACTGTCATTTCTCAGAGGACATTTTCTGGCTTCACCTGAAAAGCAAGAGGATAGGAATCTGTACTAGAGAGATAATATTGGAAATTTAGGGAGGCAAGATTCAAGAGAGAAAGGAAAAATCCAAACGAGACCATGACACACATGTGACTGGCCTTCTCAGACACTGAACAAATTCTGAACTTACTGGGGGAGGAGGCCACAAAACTAAGTCTCACAAGAGCATTTTGTAGGTTGGCAGTGTCAGGAGGGGGTCCCTGGAGTTCAAATTTTGCTACAGAGTATGGTCTGAGAAAATATGGGATAGGTAGACCAAAGCACAAAGCACAGATGAATGGATCCTTGAAGAATGTAAACCATATTTTATACACGTATTTCATGGTTCTGTTTTTTATTCTTTCTCCCTAGTAGATAAAAGAATAAGCCTTTGCTATAAAAAATAAAATATCTTCTAGATATCTAGATCCTGTATACATTTTTACATATGGCATCTATCCACTATTCAAGAGTCACTAGGATGTCAAGAGATAAGACCATATCACTGAAAAACAAGAGAAAAAAATAACCTAAAAGAAGAAAATAAGTTCTAGGATGACAGAGTAATCTTTGGGCTATATTCTTCAGTACTCAGAATACTTGCTACATACAGTAATTGATGAGTAAACATGGGATAAACTTAGAAAATGATGGAATGATCAAATGATTCATTTATATTTCCATATGGGATGGGTAGACCTGTGAACATCAAACCTTAGTAACATCAATAAAATGAGACAAGAAGACACTAAAAACATTACTAAATTGTTTGGTTTATTCCCTTTATTTTCTCCAACTACTTTTCTAGCTCCATGACCACAAGATAGCTGTTCTAATTCCCCTAGAATGAAATATCAGCACAAAATAACTTTTTTCTTCCCTGTGTTTACAGGCACATGGTAAGTATGACTTGTTGTAACAATGCAAAAGAGACAGCACATAATTTATGAAAAAGCTGCTATCTTTAAAAGTGAATAGTGATACATAAAGGCTACTTGTTATTCATATTTTTTGCTGCTCTGAACAAATATCAGAAAGAGGTATAAATATGCAGACTTATCATAAAATTTTTCAACATTGCCAAAGACAGAGTATGCACATAGTTTTATCAGCAATTTTAGCCAATTTGAATATCATTCTAAAAAATGAAATTGTGAAGTTTCATATACCTAGTGTTGGGAGAAATGATTCAAATTTATGTTTTGCTAAGAAGCACTATTTAAAATTTTAATTTCAAGCTGGTAACAGGTGGCTCACACCTGTAATCCCAGCAATTTAGTAGGTGAGATATGAGGATCATGTTTCAAAAGCCAGCCCAGGCAGAAAAGTCCATGAGATTCTTGTCTCCAATAAACTACTCAGAAAAAGCCAGAAGTGGTACAGCGGTTCAAGTGGTAGAGTGGCTAGCATTGAACACAAAGAGGCCCTGAGTTCAAGCCCCAGGACAAACAAAATAAAGTAAAATTTTAGTTTGGCTTGGTATTTGGTTATTTCAAAATTTTATATATGTTAGTTTTGTTTTCATTTGCATTTTAGTTGTTATTTTCACTATTTGTGGCTCTAAAAAATCTTGCCAATACTCTAGCCTTTCAGGGTAAGTCTATCATTGATCGAGTCTTTAAAGATCCTAAACTAATCTCTTTTTAGAATCTAATGTTCTTTTTTATTGTTTTCTGGAGATTTCAAGCTTAACTGTCAAGTCCATAACAAATGAGTAGAAATTCTAATATATAATATCTGGCATAAATTAACAGTTATCAGACCAGCTTAACTACATGAGCAACTAAGACTATCATACCTCTTGAAAGCTATGAGCTAAATGACTACACCGAGCCGAAACACACAAAATGAATGATAAGACTACCACTGAACTAATCAGTCTTACAGGTGAGAGTCATGGACACTAACAATAAAAAATTCCAGTGCACTGACATCTACTGCTTAAATTGAAATAGATGTAGTCAGGGCGAGCTAACTTAGGCATTGAGTCTTTGAAAATTTAA